ATTGCTCTACAAACAGAGAACTTGATCAAGTATCGTGTGGTTTAGTTAAAACTAGGCTTAATGAAAGCATTACCAAACTGCACGAACTAATTAGAATCAAAACTAAGCTTAGACAATCTCTCTTAGAACTTCAATGATGTAGATTTCATTAAGTTACAAGACATGGCTGACGGGTTAGGAGAGGCGATTGACAGAACTACTCGTCAAATACATGATAAGAAGTACCGAAATTTAGGAATTAGAATAAGGTCGAGAAACCTTGCACCTAAGAAAAATCTTCCTATGTTTGTAAAAAAGTGGGGAAGGATAAGGTGATCAATTTATCTAGTACAACTCTGGAGGATAGTGTAGTATTTTTATTGGAAAGATGACTGAATTTTGCTCTTCCAAATGAGGTGAACCATTCTCTGGGAATACTTATTAAATTAATTAGCTTATCTGATAGATTACCTGAAGAGGTAAGCAATAATATTGAACTGGATGTGATCCTTCATTTTGATCATATAATACCACCTAAGAAAGATCGTCACATTAGTAGGATTTCTAGATATCTGTTTAATAAGAATCTAATCATAACGAAAGCCGACAAAGATGGAGCAGTGGTAGTCATGGCTAAATCAAGTTATGTATAAAAGATGCTAGTTCATTTAAATGACAATGACATGTATGTACCTTTATTGAGAGACCCAACCGAAAGACTTAAGACTAGGCTAAAAGATGCCCTTAAGGTATGCGTAAGGAATGGTAAAATGGAGAAGTGGAAAATGAATTCACTACTCCAGAGAGATGCACGGGCCCCTACCGCTTATGGTCTCCCTAAGGTTCACAGAGGGTGCCCCTCTAAGATTAATTGTAAATAATAAAGAAAGCGTGATGCATAAAATCTCACGGTTTTTTTATGGATACAAATAAGGAACTCTGCCAATTATTGGCTATATTCAGTTAAAAATTCGTATGATTTTGTGAAATTGCTAGATCAGCAGACAATTTCAGTAGAGGATAAGCTAGTAAGCTTTAATGTTGTGTCTATGTACACAAACATTCCTGTGCAAGGAGCTATTCAAGCTCTGATACAAACTCTGGAAGAACATCCAGAGCTAACACAAGGAATAAGGCTGAGAGTTGCGTCCATCATTAAAGTTATTAATCTATGCATGAGTAGCACATATTTTACCTTTGACGGTAAATTATACAAACAAACGCAAAGATTAGCGATGGGATCTTGCCTGTCTCCCATCTTGGCGAAAAATTATATGGCAAGACTGGAGGAACATTTCCTGCAAGAGGCAATACTAACACCTAAAATGTGGGTTAGATACATGGAGGACTATTTTGTCATCTGGCCTCATGGTGAGGACAGTGCAGATAGTTTCCTACTTTCACTCAACCAGCTTGAAAGAGACATTAGGTTCACGATGAAAATGGAAGAGAATAAGTCCTTACTTTTTCTGGATGTTCTCATCATTAGAGAAAAGGGTAAGTTAGAAAGAGATGTTTATAGGAAG